GAGGAGGAGGAGGAGGAGGAGGAGGAGGAGGAGGAGGCTGGGGGCTATCTGGGCCCCCTCCGGCCACGGCTGCAGGGCTCCGGGCTGGCTCCGCGGGCCCCGCCCGGCTCGGGCGGGGGGCTCTCTGGGCCCCCTCCGGCCCCCCTCTGGCCGAGGGGCTCCAGACCCTCCCCGCTCACAAGTCGGGGAGACGTAAGACTCGGGTACGGGGGACTCGGGTTGGGTTGACGTGGCCATCATAAAAATGACGAGACCCAATCTGGAATTTGACGCGGGCTCCTGCTGCGGACATCCCACGAAAACGGGACCGTCAAAATCCAGGACGCGCTCGTCAAAATTATCCCGGCAAAGCAACCTAACAGCGATGCGTAGAAGCATATATGGAAGCATTCCCCTTAAGATTCAGATGAGAATCCAGTTGTAGAGTTCTGCTGCGCAGTCGCATTCGCGATGACAGTCGCAGTGGCAGCGGCAGTCGCAGTCACAGCCTCACCCTGCCTCAGCATCAGCCTGCCTCAGCGTCTGCCTCAGCCTGCCTCAGCCTCAGCCTCAGCCTGCTTCAGCCTCAGCCTCAGTCTGCCTTCAGCCTCAGCCTCTGTGCCTCAGCCTGCCCCAGCCTCAGCCTGCCTCAGTATCAGCCTGCCTCAGCCTCAGCCTCAGCCTGCCTCAGCCTCAGCCTCAGCCTGCTTCAGCCTCAGCCTCAGCCTGCCTTCAGCCTCAGCCTGCCTCAGCCTCAGCCTGCATCAGCCTCAGCCTCAGCCTCACCCTGCCTCAGCATCAGCCTGCCTCAGCGTCTGCCTCAGCCTGCCTCAGCCTCTGCCTCAGCCTCACCCTCAGCCTCAGCCTCAGCCTGCCTCAGCCTCAGCCTGCCTCAGCCTCAGCCTCAGCCTGCCTCAGCATCAGCCTGCCTCAGTCTCAGCCTCAGCCTGCCTCAGCCTCAGCCTGCCTTCAGCCTCAGCCTCAGTCTGCCTTCAGCCTCAGCCTCTGTGCCTCAGCCTGCCTCAGCATCAGCCTGCATCCGCCTCAGCCTCAGCCTCAGCCTCAGCCTGCCTCAGCATCAGCCTGCCTCAGCGTCTGCCTCAGCCTGCCTCAGCCTCAGTCTGCCTTCAGCCTCGGCCTCAGCCTCAGCCTGCCTCAGCATCAGCCTGCCTCAGCCTCAGCCTCAGCCTCAGCCTACCTCAGCCTCAGCCTGCCTCAGCGTCTGCCTCAGCCTGCCTTCAGCCTCGGCCTCAGCCTCAGCCTGCCTCAGTCTCATCAGCCTCAGCCTGCCTGCCTCAGCCTCAGCCTCAGCATCAGCATCACCATTCTCAGCCTCTGCATCAGCATCAAAATGTGGCCCGGGAATGTCTGGGAACTCGAAGAGCACGAAGTGGCCTACAATTGGCTCCGGGCATTCAAAATGTGGCCCGGGAATGGAGTTCTGGGCACTCGAAGAGCACGAAGAGGCCTACAGTTGGCTCCGGGCATTCAATATGTGGCCCGGGAATGGAGTTCTGGGCACTCGAAGAGCACGAAGTGGCCTACAGTTGGCTCCGGACATTCAAAATGTGGCCCGGGAATGGAGTGCTGGGAACTCGAAGACCACGAAGTGGCCTACAGTTGGCTCCAGGCATTCAAAATGTGGCCCGGGAATGGAGTTCTGGGTACTCGAAGACCACGAATTGGCGTACTGTTGGCTCCGGGCATCCAAAATGTGCGCTGGGAATGGAGTTCTGGGAACTCGAAGACCACGAAGTGGCCTACAGTTGGCTCCGGGCATCCAAAATGTACGCCGGGAATGGAGTTCTAGCAGCGCCAAGAGCGATTTTGCGAGGATGTCCCAGGCGATTTGGGCTTCGACGGCAGCCGCCCCGGGTCCCGCCCGGACCCCCCTGTGGAGTCATCTGCTGCTCTCTTTTGACACCACTAGAAACCTATCAGTCTTCGCTGTTAGGTAAAAAAGTCGGCAAACCCGAGTTCCGGCTTACTCGAGTCTTACGTTTCCCCGAACAAGGCACGGGGGCCCGCCCGGCGCAGGCCTGGGGGCCGAGGGCCCCACGCCGCCTGTGGCTGGGGAGCTCCAGGACCCCTCCGGCTGAGGCTGGGCTCTCTCTGGAGGGATCCCCGCTCCCTCGGTGCCGAGGTCGAAGGGCTCCGGACCCTCTCCATGGCTGAGGCTGGGGGGCTCAAAGGTCCCCTCCAAGTACCGCTGCTGGGGGGCTCAGGGCCCCCGATCAAGAACTCCGACCGGCCCTCTGGGCGGAAGTAGTTTTGCGCGCTTCCTCAGGAAACCCTTGGGTCTCGTTGGGGGGGCCGCGAGCGGTGGGATGGTCCAAGGTCCAGGCCAGCCCGAGATGGCTCCAAGAGATCCCCCGAGGCTCCAAGATGGCCTCCATGATTGCTCAAAGTAGCCGAAAATGGTTCAAGATAGCTTCCTGGTGCCTCCGAAAGGTCCAACGACCGCTCCAAGGCAACTCCATCCGAAGGAGGCCCCCGAGAGGCAGAATCCTTCTACAAAATCCCGTCTACCTCCCCTATGCCCTTTTGAACTCCTCCATGTCATTCTCAACTTACCCGTGCCTTTTTGAACTCCTCCATGTCATTCCCAGCTTCCCCGTAACTTTCTGGACTTCCCCATGTCTTTCCCATCCCCCCCGTGACAATCTGATCTTCCCCACGTCCACTTGAGTGCTCCAGTGCGCCATCCAATTTCCCCACGGTCGCCAAATTTCCTTTGCGTGATCGCCCCGTCCGCCGCGCCCACGCAACCTGCTACATCCAGGCGCGTGTCCACCATCTTCGCCATATAAGCCAACTTCACTCATGACCTTCCGCACCTCGCCTGCGCTTTTGCCCTCACCATGGCCTAGTGGTACCGTGGATCTAATCAGGGCATGGTGCATGCGCTCTCCTGTCCTAGGCCAGAGAGTCAGCACACCGTCATGCTGCATAACCAGGGGCCTTCCGACGACGTCTGGGGTGAAGAGGGCACAGGCGACGACGAGGAGCTCAAGGAGCAGGACGAAGAGAGGGGCACCAGAGATACGAGGGATGACTACGCGAGGAGAGGGAGGCGAGGGGAGGCGACTCGAAGGAACGGGCAGACAGGCCTCGGACCTCCGCCCGAGATCGACGACGCACCCGTCCGCACAGCCACTCGCTTCTCAGCGGAGCCCTGACGTTTGCCCGCACGCGCGACGCGGCGAAGGAGGAGGAGGAGGAGGGGGAACTGTTGAGCCAACGGCGGCGCGGCCAGCGCCCGGGCGGGGGCCGCGGCGGCCTTGAGGAAGTTGCCAACGTACACCAAGGTCTTGCGCTGCGGACGGAAGGGGGAGGGAAGAGGAGACGAGGGGAGCGCTGGAGCCGCGCGTGACGCGCCGGGCATGAGGGCATGGCGGCACGGCGAGATGGCGGCGTTCTCGGACCACCGACAACTCACCACTAAATCGTGCCCTGAGATTATGCTCAGAAAGCTGGGGGGGCGGTTAATCTGTTTTCGGCATCGACGTTTGTGTTTGCCGTCTGGGGATCCGTTGTTTGTCCGTTTGAGAATTCTCGTTCGCGATGTGATGGGTTCGGTACCATTTCGCACTGCCGTCGTGTTCTGCTTTGGGCCGCCGCTCTTTCTCCCCGCCGTGGTCGACCGAAAACCAGATAGTTGAAAACGGAAGCAGAGACACGCAAAGACGTCACCAGCGACGTCACCATCAACCATTGAGCAATGACCGACCGTCCTGGCATTCCTACAGTCCTACCACGAAATGTTCTTAGAACCCAAAGCTGTTCTAAGAACAAAAAAATGTTCTGCATAAAACTGATGAAATTCAACAAGACAGACACTTCGTGGAGACCACAAGAGGTTCTTAGAACATTGCTTGGTAAGGCTGTAGGCGAGCCAGGACGCTTCGCCACTGCTTGAAACCGAGATCGTGCCTGCCGGCAGCGGCGCCGGGGGGGGGGGGGGGGGGGGGGGGGGCGGAGGGCAGGGAGGGGCGAGCGCGAGGGAGAGCAGCGAGGACTCCGCGGCTCGGCCCTTCGTCGAGGGGCTGCTGCCCTCGCGGCGTCCGCCCCGCTGCGAGCGCCTCCGCCCCGAGGGGGAGGCGAGGGGATTCCTCTCCTCCTCCTCCTCCTCCTCCTCCTCCTCCTCCTCCTCCTCCTCCTCCTCCTCCTCGCCATCCTCCTCCTCCTCCTCCTCCTCCTCCTCCTCTCTCCTCCTCATCCTCCCCTCATCCTCCTCCTCCTCTCCCTCCTCCTCCTCCTCCTCCTCCTCCTCCTCGCTTTCGGAGGCATCGGCTGAGGGGTGCTCGGACTATAGCGGAGCCCAACTCCCAGTAGGATTCTACGAGGAGAAGGACGAGAATGATGATGATGAGGAGGAGGACCCATGTAAATCCAATAATCATCAACGATGTTGGAATAAGCCCTCTCTCAACGGGTCCTTTCCACTGAAGGAACTGCCCCGTTGGAAAACAACCGTTTGAAGACCCTGACGCATGCCAAAACAATGTTCTCGGGATTCCAACGCCGCGGGTCAACTTGAGTGCTGCGTCCCGACATTCCTGAACCGTGCCAGAACGCCATGCCTGGGACTTCAACACCGCGAAGCAATGTCACTCTTGCGCCCTCATAATCCTGAACCCTTCCACACCAGTTCTGGCACGCACATCATGGAAATCCGTGAAACTCTTGCAGCATGCAGAAACGAATATGCGCGGCGCTAAGGCGAGAACACCATTTCAAACCAATGCGCGCGGCGCTAAAGCGAGAACCACATTTTGAAAACGCAGCGCCCTCAATCCATGAAACTCTTGCAAATTCGGGACAACAATTTGCGCGACCTTGAGCGAGGGGCCACATGTTGAAAACGGGTCGCTCTTAGGCGTGAAGCTCTTGCAATGTTTAAACACGAATGTGCGCGGCGCTGGAGCGAGAGCCACATTTTGAAAACCACCCGCCCTCCATCTGTGAAACGGTTGACATGCTTCAAGCTTCAGAGTCATGAATGGTGAGGGAGTCTCAGGCGGAACGCCCAGTCCGCCCTAAAAACTGGCCTTGGGGTGCGACGGGGAGAAGTTAGTTAGAAGGAATAAGATTGGAACAAGGAAGGAGGAGAACGACACCGAATGCAAGACCCGCAAATCCGCGTACGGGCAAACACGGGAGGCGCGGGCGGCGCGGAGGGGGAAGCGAGGAAGGCAGCGGAGGGATGGAAGAAGGAGGCGACGGGAACACGGGAGGGCGAGGAGGAGGTCTCTGGGGGGCGGGAAGGGGAACCCTGAGATTGCAGCCAAAGAGATGTTGGGGGGGTCGATGAGGGTGCTATAGTTATGTCGGGCGTGTCCCCCTACAGGGGGATTTTCCACGAAAAGTGAAAAACATACCCCGAAAATACACCAAAAAGGTCCAAAAGTACAACCAAATAAAAAACAAAAAAAACAGACTTTTTTGGGGGACTATGTTTGGACTAGTTTTGGGGTATCTTTCATTTGTCGTCGAAGATCCCCCTGTAGGGGGACAGGCCCGACTTAATCCTAGATCGGGAGCGGCCAAGAGGGGGGTGTCCAAGAGGGGGGGGGTGCAAATCATGACCGGCGGCATGTGCGCGGCCCGGCGGGGGGGCCTGGGACGCAATGGAACAAGAGGAGGCGCCATGAGATCTGGGGAGATATCGTGGCCCCCGCCGTGAGATCCCCCCCCCCCTCAGTCGTCACCCCCCTCTCTGCCGCCCCCGACGATATGGAGGCCTCTCTTACCGTCATGCCGCGGCGGCGGGGCCCGGCCCTCGGGCCGCGAAGGCGCCCCGTCCCCGTGCGCGCACCGCCCGTGGGCCACCCCGGGCCGGCGCGGCCGAGGCTGCCAAGGCGCCAGCGGATCTCGCCGCCCCCCCCAGGGCTCCCAAGGGTGCCCCGAAAAGGGCTCCACGAGGCGCCCAAGAGGCCCCAAGAGAGACCCCCCAAATGGCACCCCCCACAGGGGGCACCACGAGGCACCAAGAGGCGCCCCCGGAGCTCCCCCAGGATGCTCCAGGAAGCCCCCGGGACCGCCAAGGGGGCCCCGATGCGCCCCAAGAAGCTCTCAAGAGACATCCAAGAGGCATCCAAGAGGCCGAGAGAGACTCCGAAGAGGCACCCATGCCCCGAGGAGACTGCAAGAGGCGTGCAAGAGGCCTCTGGCCTTTCTCCTCCTCCTCCTCCTCCTCCTCCTCCTCCTCCTCCTCCTCCTCCTCCTCCTCATCATCATCATCATCATCATCATCATCATCATCATCATCATCATCATCATCAGCATCATCATCATCATCATCATCATCATCATCATCATCATCATCATCATCATCGTCAGCATCAGCATCAGCATCAGCATCAGCATCATCATCATCATCATCATCAGCATCATCAACAGCATCATCATCATCACTATCACCATCACCATCACCATCACCAGCACCAGCACCATCACCATCAACATCACCATCACCATCATCATCACCATCATCATCACCATCACCATCTCCATCACCATCACCATCACCATCACCATCAACATCAGCATCACCATCATCATCACCCTCATCATCACCATCATCAACATGCTCACAGGGCACCTTGCCTGGACGACATCGTTAGATGTGTTGATGGGGCGACGCGAAGCGTCTAGAATGTCATGGTCCTGGCCATGTACTTATAATCATTGCGTGTCCTGCTCTCACTCATCCTGCTAATCCTGATGATCCACCATCTTATACTGCTCGTCCTCCGCATTTCACTCAGTCGTCTTGGTCTGCACTCTGCACTCACAGTATCATCGTTTCCCCCCTGCCTCCACCCTCAGATTCCTCTTCCTGCTCCTCCCCCCTCATCTGCTCACCCCCTCCTCCTCACATGCTCCTTAATCCACTCCTATCTTCAGCAACTTGCCGCGCGGAGATGGGAGGGGGCGGAAGTGAGAGGCAACGATAGGGGGGATGAGCTCGGGCTGGAATCAACGACATGGAATCGGCGATACACCGCCGATAGGTCCCCGATAGGCCTCCGATAGCGAGTCCGCACGCTCCTGGGCGGGGTGGGGCTATGCGACGCCCTATCTGTGATCATTGGACGATAGGGGGTCGCGGCATCTGCCCCCTGAGCTTGTCCCCCCTGAGGCTGCCCCCGAGGATGAGGCGGGGGGGACGGAGGGCGAGGCGGCAAACAGCGGAGATGAGGGCATCCCGCCTTGTCCGCGAAGACGGCCGCGCCGAGCTGCGCCGCAAGCAAGAAGGCAATGCCCAGGGTGTGCGACGCGGGGTCCAGCCTGGGCAACGGTCGGTTGCGGCTGTTGCTGCGACGGCTGCTGACACCACTGTTGCTGCTAAGATTGCTGCCAGTGGGGCCGGCAACGTCGCTGCCATGCTCAGGTGGGGACATCCGAACCCAACCCCCACCAAGCGTCGATCCCGACACGATGGCGGGCGGGGGTAGGGTTCGGATTTCGCCACGTGGTCGACGATCTCCGAACCCTGGTGATAGGGGGCTCGAATAACGCCGCCGATCTCTGTTGCTGCGACTGCTGCAGCTGACGCTGCTGGTACTGTTGATGCCGATGCTGCTGGTCGTGCAACCACTGCTACTGTGATAGAGCCAGTCGCCGAGGCGCAGGCACCCAGTGGTATGGCCACAGGTCCTTTCCAGCACCAGTGCGCTCAAGCTGCCACCACAAGGAACGCTGCAGCCAGGAACGGAGCCCGGCGCCTGGGTGCACGAGGAGCGCTGGAGGAACAATCATGTAAGGAACTAGGGAACAGCGAGCCCCGTCCGAACCCGAAACGTCTCCTCGTTTCAGCGCCTTGGCTGTAATATCGGAGGTTGAGGGGTGAGATCGCAGTGGAACGGAGACCCCAACCGGGAAATCGTTTCGTTTCGCTCGTGTCGTGCGTGCGGGCGAGGCGAAGCTGCGTGGGCGCGCGAGAGGAATGAACCCCCCACAGCTAGGGGGAAGTCAAAGACAAATGATTCTCCTCTGTCTGGCGGTGGCCCCGTGGTTTCCCGTGGTGTCCCGTGGTGTCCCGTTGAGTGAGATCGATAGTGAGACCGATAGTGATATCGATACTGAGATCGATGTGGTGCCCCGAAGTGTCCCGTGGTGTTCCGTGGTGTCCCAAAAAGAGAAATCGATACTGAGATCGATTGTGAGATCGACAAGTCTCCCGTGGTGTCCCGTGGTGTCCCGTGGTGTCTCATTGAGTGAGATCGATAAGAAGACCGATACTGAGATCGACGTGGTGCCCCGAGGAGTCCCGTGGTGTTCCGTGGTGTCCCTGAAAGTGAGATCGATAGTGAGATCGATGTGGTGTCCCGTGGTGTCCCGCTGAGTGAGATCAATAGTGAGATCGATAGTGAGATCGATAGTGAGACCGATACTGATATCGAGAGGTGTGCCGCGGTGTCCCGTGGTGTCCTGTGGTGTCCCGTGGTGTCCCGTTGAGTGAGATCGATAGTGAGATCGATAGTGAGATCGATGTGTTGTCCCATGGTAACCCGTTGAGTGAGATCGATAGTGAGATCGATTGAGTCAGATGTTGGTTCCCCCCCCTCTGCGCCCCCCCACAACCTCCTTATCACCCGAAGGGTGGTCGTACAGGACAAATATCGTAGAGATTCCCTTTTTGGGCGCCCGAAATGGGTACCGAAAAAATGGGTACAATGCCCAACAGCAAATGTTGTCCCAAACCAGCAGCGGCCGCTGTTGGGCAGGCGGCCTCCTGTCTCGAATGGACACAGGCTGCGGCGGCGTGGACAGCGAGCCCTTTTCGAAATGAACAGGGTCCGCTGTTGGGCATTGTACCCATTCTTTCAGTACCCATTTCGTGCGTGCAGACCCTTGGGGGCCCAGACCCCAAACTGAAGTATCTTCGCTCTCGAGGGTCCCTGCGGGGCTTCCCTGCAGGCCTCGGGACTTAGCCACAGGAGACTCTCCTCTCGCCCGCCCACGCAGCTTCGCCTCGCCCGCACGCACGGCACTCACGAGTACGAAACCGAAACCGATTTCCCGGTAGGGGGGCTCTCCACTTCGATCTCACCCCCTCACCTCCGATCACCCGAAGGGTGGTCGTATAGGTAAAATATCGTAGAGATTCCCTTTGGGGCCCAGACCCCAAACTGAAGCATCTTCCAGGCCCTCCCGGGCGCTCTCGGGGTTCCCTGCGAGGCTTCCCTAATCACAGGCCTCGGGAGCGTGGCTGGAGGCCTCAACCTACCATGTACCCTGAGTTGATTCCAGGGCCCTGGAATCAACTCCTTGCTGGAGCCTCTGAGATCGCTCCAGCATGGACCCCTGCAGGGGTCCATGCGGGAGCGATCTCTGAGGCTTCTTGGGCTGCCTTGGAGGCCCTGGGGGTCGGTGCAATAAGACAAAAGCATCGGTCTTAGGCCTGATAGCACTCAAATGTAAAAAGGTTCTGTCTCCAGAGCGTCCAAAAGCCTCACGAGGGCACAAGAGTGCCCCACGACGGCACCAGGAAGGGCCCAATGATAGGCCTATTTTCCACCACCACTACCAGAAGTAGGAGTGGGGGAGGAGGAGGAGGACGAGGAGGAGGAGGAGGAGGAGGAGGAAGACGACCTCCTCATGCTCCCTTCTACCCCATCCTACATATGGTAGTGGTGGTGGAAAGTTTGCCCATCACCTAAAAGAGAGGACCCCAAACTGACAGCTCTCGCCCTCCACACAGAGATTGCCCCCGAGACAACCAGCAGCCCCCTACGAGGCAAGCAAGAGGTGATGTCTCTCAGGGGACTGCTTTGGCGGCGCGCGCATGGGGTAGGCTTATTAGAAGGAGGCTGCTGCTTCTTAGAAAACTCGGGCATTCCATTTTCAGACAAGGCCCGCGCCTTCTAAGAAGGAAGCGTGCTTCTAAGAAGCCTTCCCCCCTCTCCCTGCCCCCCTCTGCGCGTCGCCTACTGCTGGTGGTCCCTTGGGCCATCTCACCGTCTCCTGTCTGATGCAATATACGGCGGTGCGATCTCTGTGGTGAAGTCTGTGTCGTGCTGCCGATGTGGTGAACGTCTGTGGTGCAGAAGACGCGGTACAACTGCCCTGCCGAAATGTATGTTCTGCACCCCAGATAGGTGCAATCTCGGTCTTGCCGTCGCTCGGACGTCCATTTCCCGTGCATTTGTCGGTTTCATGCGTGCTTTTCTTGCTCGATGGTCCAGGATGGTCCTCGATGGTTCTCGCCGAGAAAAGATGCACAAGTCCGAGCGATGCCAAGCGGTGTAGCATTTGTGAGGCGCTCTGGGTGGGTGTGCCGGGGTGTCGCCCGGTGCCCGCTCGGTGCCCGATCGCGGGCGCCTCGAGGGGCGCCCCTCGTGACCCCCCTCGCGCCGGAAGGATCGCTTGCAGAGCATGGCTTACACCGCGCAGCGCACACCGCGTATAGTGCACTGCAGCGAATGCGTCACACAGCCCAGACCATATAGAGCACACCACGTATGGTATATGTTTGTGGAATGCCGTGGCAATGGACACTCAAAACATGTTCTAAACATGTTTCAGGTAGTTTGGGCTACACATTTTAAACATGTTTGAAACATATGTTAGACATCTGAAAAAAATGACAGCATGCTTCCTTTCCATTAATTCGGCCCACACATATATATATATGTATATAAGTGTATATACACATGTACATATACATACACATACACATATACATATGTGTATATATATATACCGAGTCTCAAATATACACATGTACATGCACACACTATACATATATCGCGACCCTTCGGCGTGTGGAAAAAAACGCTGTCGTCCTCCTCCAGCGCGCCAGCCAGAGCGAAACCGAACCGACATTCAAGCACGCCAGCAAAGACGAAACCAAACTGAAGTTGAGCAATGTCGTGGTTGACTCGAAGGGAAGCCCCTTCCCTTTGGGGCGGGGGTCCCACGGGGGGTGGAGGGGAGGGGATCCCAGGTCAGAGTACCATCTTTCCCCTGGGGAGGGCAGCCCATAGGCCCCAAAGACGGTCCCATAGGGCCCCGAATCGATGAGCCATCGGCCCAAGACGCCAAATATGGCACCATCGCAACCCAAGCGGCTACCAAGACGCTCGAAGAGGCCTCCAAGAGCACGCCAAGAGGGCCCCAACCGGCAACATTTAGGTGTTTGCGAGGTATTGGCGTCCTCGCCTTGTCGGCTCCCCGATGCCCCACGACGCCCTAAGGTACCACCAAGATCGGCACAAGAGGCCCCCAAGAGGTCCCCAAGACAGCACAATAACAACCCAAGAGGACCCCCAAAACGGCCCCACAGGCCTCCCAGACGGCCAGAAGCCGCCAAAACGGCCCCAAGAGGGTCCCCACACGGGAGCCCGAACAAACGTTTCTAGCCCTCGGCCCCGAGAAGCTCCCAGGAGGCCCCAACAGGCCCCCAAGAGGCTCCCAGGAAGCCCGAAGATACCCCGAAGCGGCTCCCAAGAGGCCCCCATGATGCTCCCACGAGGCCCCACAACTGCCCGCCAGAGGCCTACGAGCGCGCCCCGACTAGGCCCCCGAAGCATCCCTGATGACTCTGCCCCACGTCAGCGTCGTCGTCGCCGACGCCGACGCTGCCGTCGTCGTCGTCGTCGTCGTCGTCGTCGTCGTCGTCGTCGTCGTCGTCGTCGTCGTCGTCGTCTCTGGGTCGGCGGCACCAGCCGCAAGGCCTTCCCAATATGGCCACAGTCAGCTTCAAGATGGCCAGCTGTGGCCGCAAAACGGCAAAAGAGGCCAACAAGACGCATCAAGGGCGCCCCGAAAACACCCCAAAAGGCAAACATCTACCATTCCCAAAAAGAAAAGCACACATGTCAAATATATTCGCTTCTTGGACGCTCACAGCATCCAAGACGGCCCGGAAACCCCCAACATCGCCCCAAGACAGCCCAAGAGGTTTCCAAGACGACTCAAGAGGGCCAAGAGGCGCCCAAGACAACTCAAGAGGGCCTCAAGAGGGCCCTAAGATGGACCCGAGATGAGAAACTCGAGCTGAGATTTCGAGCCATCCGCCCCAAAGGGGCCCCCGAGATCTCCAGGAGGCCCCTAAAAAGATCCCAAGAGACCCCAAAAGGACCCAAACGGCCCCCAATAAGGCCCCACAAGGCTTCAAAACTGTCCGCAAGAGACTCCCCAGAAGCTTCCCAAGAGACCCAAGCAAACATACAAGAGGCCTCTGACCCACAACGCAGACACGGTGACGGGATGGGCCGAAAGCAGTTGTATATGTATGTGCGTACACACACATATATATATATATACTAGAACCACGCGCGCGC